GTGTAATGCACTACCAGTTGAGACCATCTGAGCTCCCAGGCTTCCACAGGTGGGACTTAGTTATAGTAATATATGAGTTATGTTATGTTGCTATCTATAAGTGACATCTCCCAGTGACAGTGAATAGCATGAGCCTGTTGATGAAGAACCTTTGTGGTTCTTCTGCATCTACAGCCTTTTGAGAAAGGAGGTAGATGAAGAAGTAAGCAAGAGTTGCTATTTATAATCTCAAAGGCCTATTTAACCTGCAATTTTATATTATTGCTGCTGTTAAGACTGCACAATTTAGAAGGATCCCTTCTGGAAACAGAGGCAAATTAATCCTCTAGAAGCCCTGACACTGACTATAGCATAGCAAATGACCTCTTATAAGTGTTCCATGATAGGCAGCAAAATAGCCATCTTATTTTCTTTCTCTTCTTCATCCTGTAGGAAGTTCCTTTAATTTATTTAGAATTTTCCTGAATTTGTAGGCTCATGGAGAGTGGAAACCAGGCCTTATTTTATGTTTATAAATTTCCTACCCTATTAAAAATGCTTCCAGAAAAAAAATAAAAGCACTGACAATTAATACTTCTGTTGACCGACATATTTGGTGTAAAGTAGAACATCTTTACTCCAGTGACTTTGCAGTATTCTCTTCAATGAATTACGCAGTTTGGTGTTTGCACTGGATGAAGCAATAATCCACAGTCAGAAGATGGGTTGGCACAGTGGAAGGAACAGTTACCACATCTCTTTTGGGAAGAAATCTGAAAAAAACCAACAGCTGTTTCTGACTTCTCAAGCTTCCACCAGCCACTTAAAGAAGTCAGGCTTTCTGGGTGCTGGATGTTATGTTGCTTACCTGTGTTAAGGTACTCTGGATGTAAATGATACAAGAACAAGTTTTTGGATTAGTCTAGACAGGTTTGCATCCCCAGAGCTGCCATCAGGAATATCATACTGGTTTATATAATCTAAGAACTCTTGGTTAAGGAGGAAATCATAGAATCATAGAATCTTAGGGGCTGGAAGGGACCTCGAAAGATCATCTAGTCCAGCCCCCCTGCCAGAGCAGGGCCACCTAGAGCACATCACACAGGAATGCATCCAGGTGGGTTTTGAATGTCTCCAGTGAAGGAGACTCCACAACCTCCCTGGGCAGTCTGTTCCAGGGCTCTGTCACTCTCACAGTGAAAAAAAAAATATTTGGATATTCACCTTGAACCTCCTATGCTCCAATTTGCACCCATTACCCCTTGTCCTATCACTGGTCATCACTGAGAAAAGCCTAACTCCATCTCCCTGACACTCACCCCTTACATATTTGAAAACATTGATGAGGTCACCCCTCAGTGATCAAGACAGTTTCAAATAAATAAAAGACCCACAGTCATTTAGATCTCTGATGCTAATTCTTGTTATAATAGTGAATCTGTAGGTGGACATTCTTTGAAAGATCCCAACTCTGCTGTCCTGGGCACAGCACAAGCACCAAGACCTTTCTTGTCTGGAACAGCTTTCAAAGCATGAGTTTAGGAACACTGCTGTCACGTGAAGATTATTTGCTTATGGCTGTATGTAAAAAGCTTTGGACTATGGTGTTACTGGAACTACTCGAGGGAAGGCTAATGGAACTAGTAATAGCCCATATAGGACGAATCTATAGTGATGGCAGTTTTGGAGCTACTGGCTTTTAGCTACTGCATATACCACTTTCTTCCAGAGAAATGGATACATGAATATGCTTCAAAGAGATTAATGGGTGTTATGAAAGTTATTTGCTGCTACGCTTTAAACTGTATACTGTAGACTTTACAATCTCCACTTGGCATCCTGATCTCACACAGCAGCTTAATCATTTTATGTACAGGATGGATGCAGAACTCTGCAGATTTCTTCATGGTGTGATGGGAACTGAATATATTACAAGGTATAGTTGGGGCTACAAGACTTTGAATGTATGTGAGACATTAACAGGTGGACTGTGTCCATCTTCCATAGCTGGTTGCTTTCAGGGAGGGGAGGGAAACAGGCTTCAGGAGGCTTGTGATTGGATTAAGAACACTTTGGGAATATTTTCAGCCTTAATAAGTGTTCTAGGATTACCCTTACTTTAGCCCATCTGTCTGCAGTGTACTTTTCCTATTGCACAGAAAATAACTCAGCTGTCTCCTCAGCACAGTTCTTGCTCCTCAGGGCTCGCATTATGTTTGACTGGAGTAACTTTTTGTCTGATTACGTTTATTTATCTAGAGGCAGCTAAGAACTTATAAGGTATCAAGACAACTGGATGTATCTAAATAGCCAGTGCAAGAAGCGTTGAAGTAGTATCTCTGCCCTCTTCAGATTATATATGAAAATGTAACTCTTTTTTCCTTCTAAGATCCCTCATGTCCGTCTACCCGAGCAGGGCAGGAGGGATGTGAGGAGCCAGTTGCAGAGGCAGATCCCTCTCAGCCGAAGTCCGAGACTTTGAGGGAAGTGTGGGACCGCGGGAAACGCCGCAGCCGCACATGGAGCCCAGGTGCGGGCGTTTTCCTTCGGAGACGCGCACACACCGGGGTCCTTTGTGGCGATCTCCTCGTGTCCCGGGGAAGGGGCGCCCAGCCCCGGCTCGCTCGGGAGCGGACCCAGCCCCG